CGCTGCTTCCTATCCGTTAACCAGTTATCAATCCAGGTCGCTACAGTTCCTAAAATACCTGTCGCTTTGAGTTTAAACGCTGTCTGCGTTGGTTCAGTTTTTGTGTGTTACGCAAGGCAGGATTAGCTAAACAAATAAAATACCAAAATAAAGTAGTTAGATGAAAATGATAAGTAATTTCACATTTATATATTATTTCCCAAACTCGCTCAAATAAAAACAACTATCTTTTTGTCACTGAGTGTTTTCCCACTTACTATGGGTTTATCAGAACATAACATAATCTTAAATTGAGGAGCACCCGTATTTTCAGGCTGATCAGAGAGGATACAAAAGGCTGCTTATCTTTGGTCTGATCTCCTTCCTGACTTTCTACTGCTTTCCTCCTGGTCAGTGAAAGATCAAAGCCTTTGCGTCACTTAGTGGACTGTCTGCGTTGGTTCAGTTTTTGTGTGTTACACACCCTCACACGCAGCCCCCCCCCATGCAGTCTCTGCGACCACCCCTGTGACTAAAATTGCATGCCTGAAGTAAGTATGAACCAGGCATAAATGTCGAAAAAATTGGGAGAGAGAAACATTATCTCCACAAGATACTTTTTCTATGTATTGTATTTGCCTAAACATTGCATGGCAGATATTAACAAGTTTCAGCTTCTTTCTGGTAATATTTGTTTATTCACACAGATGCAGACAACCTATAGATACTGCTGGTTAAAGTTTCATGAACCTTGTCGCTGTTAGCCTTAGCTCTGCTTGGAGAATGCAGTCACGGTATTAGGCACGTTTTAACATGATCGAAGACGCGGGGATGCCCGTGCATGTCTGCAAAACTGCTGCTGCTCAAGCTGCCTCTGTTGTTTATTTCCTGTTTTTGTCTTTTTTTTTTTTTCTCTGCAAAGGGGAAGTCATACAGTGTAGTAGAAATAATGAAAACGTGGACCTTGCAGAAAGGCTTTCCCCTGGTAACTGTGAACAGGACGGGCAATCGTGTGACGCTGTCCCAGGAACACTTCCTCTTCACTGCGGACCCCACCACCAAGTCTGAGTAAGAAGTTTGCGGTTTGTGGTGACAGTATGCGTCTGGCATTTGCCAATGATTCACAGTATTAGCCTACTAAAAACAAATTTGTATTATTATTAGGGATGTAACGATACCAAAAACTCACGGTATGATATTGCGATAAAAGGTTCACAATATGATAATTATTATGATATTAAAAAAGAAAAAACTCTCTTAATAATGATAACATGTTTTTTTTATATGAAATTAACATAGTGTTTCCTCTTTTTTTCATTAGTGAAATATCCAGCTATGACCATAAGCCTTTGCCAGAACTTATGAATAATTGATCTTTGCAATGAATGACTGAACAATGCATGTAATTGTAAAACAAAAGCAAGCAGTCAGTAGTTCCTTAATAAAATATTAATTATTACTGCAGCAGCTGGATCTTTTAATCAAAACACAATCTGCGATTCCGAAAGTAGTGTCTTCAGCCACTTTTCTGCCTGTTTTCACCGCGTGAAATATAAGCCACGCCCATACATACTAACACGCTAAATAATGCGTGAAAACAGTGTACATGTAACACTTATGATCCTATTTTGGGTCCATTTAGTAGTGCTACTGGCCAGTTCTAGGTTCGATGGGAGTGGTGGGGGAAAAGATAATGACACCTCAAAATTTAGAACAGCAACCTTTAGTAAATATTAATTGTAGAAAATGAAGAATCATGAATACATTTACATTTAAATGGAAAAAGTAAATCTACCTCATTATAAAGTATGGATTTAAATATTTTTTGTTTTGGGTTCTGAGCCCAGTGGTTAAATCAGTTATTCCTAGTTAATCCTAAGTCTAAATCTAGTTATATCCTAGTGCAGTTTTGCTAATTTTTGACTGCGCACAGATCATAAAATAATTATTTTGTATCTATTCATAATCACATAAGTCCTTATTTAAATTCTCTCTCCCGTATCTTTAGCACCTATTTATCTTTCCATTAAATCGGTAACCTCCCCCCACATATCAAACTGAAAATTCAACACATATAAACGGAAAAAACAAAATCATTGTATACCATTTAGGCATAACAATATGCAAGGGTTAATATACCGTTCAATTCAGGCATAGAGACAAATTCAAAGTTCCCTCTACTCATCCTTCACCGTTGCTCCGTGGGTCTAACTCGGCATCCGGCTATGAACTCCATTTGGCAGGTCCCTGTTCAACAAAGCACATGCAGGAATATCCCTTCCAAATCTTCGGAAGTGTCAATGTAGCGCAGAAAAAAAACAATTTATCGTGGTTTAAAACATTTCTTCTATCTTCCTTTTCCTTTAGTTAATTAAAAAAAATCTTCGTACACCACATAAGCTGTAAAATCAAGCTTAGCAGGTTTTCTTTTTACCGTATTCTAAATCCTATGGCAGCACTCTCTGCAGCCAGCCTCAACCGCTTCTGCAAAAAAACAACCTGAGCTTTCCACGTTACGTCATGACATCACCTCACAATCTGCATACAATCGTCTTTTCTTAGCGATGAATTATCGTTTTGTTAATATACTGTAAATGTGTGTTTCTATTTGACCAATTTATAAATTATTGTTGTAATAGTTGTTTTGTATTGGATTGGGTTACACACGGCCAATAGTGCACAAAGCATTCATTAATGTAGTATGTATTTTTTGAGACGGCGCTTACAAGACCGAAATAACCACGTGATATCTTGGTTGATATTTGAACTGTTTCTAGGATGTTTATCACGATATTACGTTTATCGTTACATCCCTAATTATTATTGATTAGGATATTTATTTCTCTCTTTCTGAAACAAAGCATCTTCTGTGAATATCAGTGGTAACATTAAGCATGGACTCTGGAGAACAAGCTCTGCTACATGATCTAATATCTCTTTCAGATATTTGTGGCACATCCCTTTGACGTACGTCAATGACAGCTGTGGCAGCGAACCAGACTGTAAACAAATGTTTCACCTCAAAGATAAAACAGGTAAACATTATTCAAGTTTGAGTTCACTGTTTGTATGTCACCGTTCTGTGTTAAGTAGCTTATGATTGAATATTTAGTATTGTGAGGCTATGGAAGGGTGAATAGTTAGGTAGTTGTGCCAGGTCTCTGTTATCCATGCCTCTGTAGGCCTTCTTATAAGTTGCATAATATACACATACACACAATATATAGATTTCGGCCTGTTCTGCAGCCCACAGCATCTCTTGACCATTCTTATGCAGTGTAACTTATTCTGCTTGTCACTGATCTCCACTGTTTAGATTCTTATTACTCTGTGGCTATGGATGAAGCTTTGAGGAGCATAGTGCTGAGCCCTACTCATGACATAAGGATAAAAATTATATCTCTCATGGGCACATTTTGCTAATCTGTTCCCACATTTTACTTAAATCGTGGGTACATTTTGCTAATTCATTCCCAGAGTAAATCTTGGCCATGATTTTAATTGAAACGAGGATATGAATTAGTAAAATGTAGCCGCATTTTTTTTTTTTCAGGATCACTGATTAAAATCACTGCTTGAAGCTTGCTGTTCATTTTCTCAATCGTGGCAGCCAGAAACATATTTTGTGTGCATATTATTATTGGCAGTGCTTATCCTGTGATATAAGTCTGTGATGGATGTAAATAATTGCAGAAGGTGCTAATTTGATGCTCCCTATTTGTACAATAGCATCATTTGATGTTCCTGGGAGTGCAAAATGGTTGAAATTCAACTTCAAAACTGAGGGCTTCTACATTGTCACTTACGAAGCTGAAGGTTGGGATGCATTGATTTATGCAATAAATAATAATACGGAGATTCTGGCCCATGAAGATCGAGCTGGAATGATTAATAACCTCTTCATGCTCTCAAGGTATGTTTGTCAATGTTTGTCATCAGTGAACAGTGTTAATTCCTGGGAGACTTTAGCACAGCTGAAAATGGCACTGTTACTTTTTTGACAGGGTGGGTAAGGTTTCATTCAGGCAGATCAAGAACCTTTTGAAATATCTTCACCATGAGACCCAACCAGCCCCTTTGATGGAAGCTTTGATTCAACTTGACCAAATTTACAATCTGCTTGAAAAAAGACAGGACACGAGACAACTTTCAAGAATGAAGGTGTGTATCACTGAACTTGAGTGACTTGAGTGGACTATAGGTTTGATATATCAATAGGGTCTGAGTAGCAATGGGTGATTACATTCAATTTGTTTAATAAGGAACCTGTTTACTTGTGTAGAATAAGTTACCTGCTGCTTTGTTGACATTGTTTTCAGTCGCTACAGGTTATTGTTAAAGCTGTTACTTTCACTTGATTACCTGTTGCTATGCTTAAATTGTAAAGTTTTCTAGTCATTGAACCTCATTATGCAGAATTCCTTTAAAGTAATAATGCATGTTTTAGACAAGTTTATAAAGTATCTGATACTTCTCCTGTTGGTTTACATTTTTAAGCTTCCTTTGAGCTCTGTGGTTTACAGTTTTCTTTTTAATTATTACTGTTATCATTAAGGCATACATTTTGGATCTCTTTGGGGGTCTGATGGACAGTCAGTCTTGGGAAGAGGAGACTTCCATCTCGAAACAAGAGCTGAGGTCAGACCTGTTGACTGTGGCCTGCCGCTACTTTAGAGAAAATTGCACAAAGAGTGCAATGCTCATATTCAACCAGTGGATGGAGTCCAACAAAACAAAAAGGTAAATGGAAACCTAAAGAAAATAAGCACATCAGGACCTGGGGCCTGTACTACGAAGCGGGGTTACTGGCTTATCGGGGTAACTTGTCGGATTTAAGGTAGTCTGGGCAAAATGTAAGTGAACGAATATGAAGTCCATTTAAATTGTGGTACCTTAAATCGGGGTAACTTAAAAAGTTACCCCGATAAGTCAGTAACCCCGCTTCGTAGTACAGGCCACTGGTGTGCTTCTATGTTTCAAAATTGTATTATTATTATTATTATTATTATTATTATCATTATTAATAATAATAATAATAATAATAATAATAATAATAATAATAATAATAATATATTTATTTTTTTTAAAAAAGATAATGTGTATGATTGGGTGCTTGTATTTCTTTGTCCAAGTTATAAAAGGAATATCTAATTTAGGTTTCTTCATTATCAGGTTGACCTAATGAGCAGTTTTGTGAAATGTGCAAAAAACTTTTAGCGATCATCCTTTTTCTTGTGGGTGGAGTGGAGGCTCTGAGGCTAGGGATCTGTGGCAGCAATCAGAAGGTTGTTGGTTTGAATCCTGTGAATGCCAGGACTGATTCTACTTCTTTGGGCCTTTGAGCAAGACCCTTAACCTGCAATTGCTTCATTCTGGGTATGACATTGATCTACATCCAGCCCTGCAAGGAGGTCCTTCAACTTACAGGGAAACTTGGGGGTTGGTGGCAGGACTGGCCCTCCAGCCACTGGGGAAAAAAAACCTCACTGTTTTGTTGGACTGGTGTGGTGCTGAGGTATCACCTGCCACATGGCTGCACTCAGGTTCTCATCCCTGAGGTGGTTTGTCGTGTGGTGGCTGCGGCGATGCGCTGTAATCAGCTTATCACCACGTCTTCATTTTACCAGCCTGTTTGTGATGGCTGCATTGAAATGAGCCTTGTGAGACGACTCTGGCCACCACTGATGGTTTTCCTCTTTGCTACAGGATCCCCGGTGACATCATGAAAGTTGTGTTCTCAGTGGCCGCCCAAAGTGACTCTGGCTGGGAAACCTTACTCAGCACCTACAAGTACTCCATGGTCGACATAGACAAGCGCAAGATGCTGGTGGCCCTGGCCAGCACGGATAGCGTCAGGAGGATTGTGTGGTGAGCCTGGAAGGCCGGCATGAGAGTCGCGCGTTAAACACCCGGATTTGTGACCACGGCTTTGCTAGACAAGAGCCCCCACATGCCTTCCTGCAGTGCATTTTTTAAATGTTGTTTTTTCTTCTTTTCCTGAGAATGGTCTACCCCTTCGTTTCCTCTGCAGGCTGATGCAGGATACATTAGAAGGGAGTAACATCCAGACACAAGAGCTTCCCTTAGTCCTCCGCACAGTCTCCAGGAACTTTGCCGGCCACCTCTACGCATGGAATTTTGTGAAGGAAAACTGGGATACAATCATTAAGAAGTGAGTGAACTGGATGAGGTGTTTTGGTACCATTGAAATCTGTGATTAACAGAAAGCTTTGCGCTCTAGTCACTTGTTTACAATGTATCACTTTTTTGTGATTTTTGTTTTACCCCCAGATTCCCCATTGGCTCCTTTGTATTGCAAGATATCATAATGTCCACGACCTCTCAGTTCTCCACAGAAAGGCACCTTGTGGAGGTCAGAAAGTGTTAACTTTCCAAGTCTTTTTTTTGTATAAGTATTTTAAATCTTTGTTATGGTCCTGTGTGTCATCCTGAACTGTGTGTGTGTGTATGTATATATATGTGTGTGTGTGTGTGTGTGTGTGTGTGTGTGTGTGTGTGTGTGTGTGTATAT